ATGCAATACGTATGTAAAGTTTTATATCGCGTTAACGTTACACGCATTACGGCTTTAACGGACTCTTCGATAGTGCTTGCTTGGATACAAACAGAACCATATAAACTAAAAACATTTGTGTGTAACCGTGTTATACAAATAATTGACACTATACCACCTCATTTGTGGCGTCATGTAAACAGCGAAAATAATATTGCAGATATTAGCTCCCGTGGAGTATCGCCTGCTCAATTATTAGAAATGCGTATTCGGTGGCTAGAAGGTCCTGAGTGGTTATGTGCTAATAGGCATCATTGGCCTATTAATATATTTTATAATAAAGAAAATAATAATATTCCGGAACTGAAATCTAATGCTACTTCAGTCAATTTGATATCTCAAGGAAAAATCATTACAGAATCTAAATTAGAATTTTTAGAAAGAATTTTAAGTATTTTCTCTTCCTTTTCAAGATTGCTAAGAACGGTGGCTCGTATTATAAGGTTATTTCGTTTTAGAAAAAATAAAGATGTCACCAGTTGCGCTAATAATTCTGTGTTAACTACTTCTGAATTAAACGAAGCTCATAATTGTTTAATGAAACTGGTTCAATATTGTTATTTTGAAAATGAAATTAAGGCTTTGTCAAAAGGTGCCACATATGTCGCTTCCTTAAGAAAATTGTCGCCTTTTTTGGACGAATGTCAGTTTCTCAGGGTGGGGGGTCGTATCCGTCATTCTGAATTACCTTATAATGCAAAACATCCAATATTGTTACCAAAAAAGAGTAGATTGACTTTACTTCTCGTTGAATATTTACATAAGAAATATCTTCATACGGGGCCGCGAAATTTACAAAATATTATTAATCAAAATTATTGGATATTATCCGCTCGCAGTTTAATTCGCTTCATATTGTCACGATGTAAAATTTGTTTTAAATGTAAACCTCCTTTAATACAGCCAAAAATGGCAGATTTACCCTCGACTCGTTTAACACCTAATAAAGTATTCGAACATGTAGGAGTAGATCTAGGTGGACCTTTTCTTATTAAAGAAAGTACTCGTAGGAACGCAAAAGTTAGTAAAGCTTATTTGGCACTGTTCGTGTGCTTTTCTACAAAAGCTGTTCATTTGGAAGTATTATCTTCATTGTCAGCGGATTGTTTTCTGGCTACGTTAGATAGATTTGTTAGTCGTCGTGGTTTGTGCGCTTGTTTGTATTCGGACTGCGGGACAAATTTTATTGCTGCTAGTAAGCGTTTAAATGAAATTCAGCAATTTATGTCAAGTAAACATGAACAGAATGATATAATAAACGGTTGTGCTCAACGTCAAATTAATTGGGTATTTAATTCTCCTAGCGCCCCACATATGGGTGGACTTTGGGAAGCAGGTATAAAATCTGCCAAGTATCATCTTGTGCGAGCAGTAGGTGATAAAGCCTTAACTTTCGAAGAGCTTGCTACAATATTTTGTAAGATCGAAGCCATAATGAATTCGCGACCGCTATGTGCTTTGCCTGCCAGTGATAATCCGAGTGATTTTAATGTTTTAACTGCGGGTCATTTTCTTATAGGCAAGTCTCTGACTGCTGTACCAGAATATAATTTAAAGGACGTTTCTATTAGTTATTTGTCACGGTGGCAATATTTACAAAATTGTTCACAATTATTTTGGAAGAAGTGGAGCAATGATTACTTAAATACTCTTCAACAGAGAGTCAAATGGTTTACTTCTCCACCAAACCTAAAAATAGGAGACTTAGTACTTGTTAAAGATGATCAAGCTCATCCGTGCAACTGGCCACTTGCTAGAATTGAAAGTGTACATCCTGGGCTAGATGGTATTGTTCGAAAGGTAACTCTGCGTTCCAAAAACCATATATTTCAAAGACCAGTGGTGAAATTAAGCCCCTTGCCTTACATAAATTAATGTATATTTTATTTTTAACTGTTACCTTATTAATTAACTGATATTTTACGTTAAAATAATTAAAGTTTTTGTTTGTTATTTAAATATATTAATTTTTTTTCTCTACTATAGTGGGAAAGCTTCATGATGCTTTCGGTGGGGGGTGTTAGATATTTACCTTAATCAAGTTTGCTGTGGGAGCGGACGCTGCCTTAATACCATAACTGTCTAATGGAACGCATTCTTTTTGGTTCAACAAGACGTCGTTGGGCGGCGCGACCGTCTTTGCCGTTTCTATAGAAATAAGAAATAACGAGATGTCTATTCTTCTTCTCAAAAAGACCGTTGAACATTTAATCGTATATTAAAATAATTAGTTTTTAAATGACATTTGCCGGCAAATTTAGTTAATCTTAAACATCTTAACGCTCGGAGAGTGAAGTTATAGATCTTACTAAAAGAAGACCACTGCAAAATCTGGATCAGTTGAACGCTGCACAGAGTTGACGCCGTTTACAAGGATTGCGAGTTCCAAGCAGGAAACAGGGCGGTTTTTAAGGTAAGCGATTTGTTTCTGTGGCTTCTCGATTAAGGTGAATACAATCATTTCAAAAGCATCTCAATTCTACAGTCCATTTTATGTAAGTCGAAGAGTGGTTCGGTACATTAACGCCACAATGGTTAAGGAGGATGGGCCATGACCCTCCACGCTGGCACAATGCGGATTGGAGGGTATTAACAACTGCAAATGCAGCCGGGACCAACGGCAACAGCTTAACGTGCCTTCCGAAGCACGGAGTAGCTCGAGATAATAATTTTTTTGGTCACCCATCCCGTGACCGACCCTTGCGAAAGTTGCTTAACGACAACGATCGCGGGCCGCGGCGCTTATCCACTACGCGACCGAGCTCCTGACATCATACATACTCATTACTAACAAGCAAATATAAAACAGGATAAATAATAAAATATGTGTCAGTCATGTGACAATGAAGAATGTTTAGACAAAAGACAGTTCATATTTCTACGGCAGTCAGTGTGATACCGTGTAAAATTAAATTATAAGTTGTTATTCTTTTATAATTGAGAATGTATAAGAAATTGAAAAATATTATTAATATTAACTTTAGAGGAGTCGACTCACTGTTAAGTTTTTACTTTGTGATATCACTGAAATCAAAATTTTCACATTTTAGTTCTAACACTGACTGGTTCACTCATTACTGGCGATTGAATAAGCCAATCGCAAACATTTTTAATTTTCGTTTTTGAATGATTAATTTACCATTTACTGTGAATACTACATACTACATAAATTTTTGGATAATATTTCTATTATTATTAACTTATATTCTGTTCAAGTCACCTTAATCCCAAAAAGGTCACATCAATGGTTACCAACCTTGAACCAACCAACCATGCTTTTTTAAAGCCTTTTTTACTTTTTTATTGATTTTGTACGTATTTTTGTTTTCCATGTCAAATATTATAGTTGTCACTCAGCCCTATCCTGGTCTTCTTATTTTGGTTCCCTAAATCCCAGTTTTTTCATCATAAATCCTTTATTTAGAGCTATCGTTAACATCAATGTTTATCGTTATTTTTATATTTAATAAGGGTAATTCAACAAATAAATAAAAAAGTCAATAGGAATTAACTATTTATTGCTAATTATTTTATTTGTCAGTCGGACTGGGTAGGAAGTGAACCAAACTGGCAATAGCTGAAAGAAAATAATAATTAAATTATTATTCATAAGTAAAATTACTATCACCATCATATAAATGCTAAATTGAATATTACAAATACGTTCACTAGAAGCAAATTATTAACAGGTATGAATGAAATTCGTTAGTCTTTTTGAAGTATCAGCTAACTTTGATTAGCTCAAACAATTATACAGTTTTGTCAATTTAAAATCGCTGTTTATTTGAAAATTGTTGCTTTTGTTAACAATCAATTTCCTTTGAGGGATTTAATCGTCGTAGCCTATTAATGTTTCAACTGCTGGGGTGCAGGCCAGCGAACTTCTAAGGAGATTTTGGTTTATGAGTTCTCTCTCGCTTTCGGCTGTAAGCTTTATTTCAGGCATTAAACTGTCGGTAAAACTCTGATCTTTCAATTCCTATTTGTGTTTGATTCCAATCACACATAAAAAGTTATACTTATTAGGGAAGATAATGCACTAATTTGCGGAGAAGTACGCAAAGGTCTATGCTATGAGCCGTCGGAAAAAACAGTGCTGTCATAGCAAAGAAATTCAATAAAAAAATCACTTCAAAAGGTAACAAAGATTTGAGACTTGATAGCACCGCGCTTGACGACTAATTTGAAGCTGTTTTTAACAGAATAGCATTGCAGTTGATGAAACATCTGATAGCCGACGCTAATATTATATCTAGCGATTGCTGAATGTGTTTGTACCACCAAATAAAGAACTGACTATTTTTTTAACTTACTGGCAATTTATTCAATATTAAGACCAAGTTTATCTCTAATATTTAACTAGGTTTTGATACATCTTGCTATTTTACGTACATCGGATCTCGTCGCAACCACGTATTCCACTATTTGACCACCGCAATAGGTACTGAGCAGTGTTTCCAAATTCACTGATTACAGTTGATGTACTGTAATTTTAGGCTTTTCTACTGTGTACTGTTTTGATAAAATACAGCGTATATTTAATTTTAATTAACTTCAATTCTAAAATTACAAGACTCGTTCAGTAGTCAAGTTCAGGGAATTAATAATATAAGGACAAAACTGAGGAATTGTTTGATTAAAAACACCATAAAAGAAAATATATCCACTTAAAATTATAAAAATTGCTCCTAATTTATTCCCAGTAAGTAAATAATTTCAAGGACTATGAGCAAATCATTCTTGAGTAACTTGTGTAATCAAGAGTCATCAAGAGTAACTTGTGTTTATAAATAACTCGTAAACTTTCATATATTTTGATTCATTATTTAAATGAAATTTTCCTAAAAGTTTACAGTAACAGACTTTAATATCTGCTGGTCCGCTTAAAGAAACAATATTTTTTTTTTTAGCTGACAGCACTCTAATTTTGCTTTTGAGTTCTGGTAACACTGGTACTGAGTGATGTATACCATTTATATTCAATCGTCATAAAGTATCAGCTGTTACAAAATTCTTGCACTCCTTATTGATGATATCTTTTACTTACATAAAGTCAAGACTGATAATGTTATGAACGGTGTCATACATTCATATGTTAACATCACTGGAAACAAAATACTGCCCAGTAACGATCCAATTCTTCCAATCATTATGATTATAGATAGTGAGAGCGTTCTAAAAATAAAAATATTAAAAAATGTTAGTGAGTTTGTTCAAACAACATCGGATACAAAGATACAAAGTAGCTAAATCCATTGGGACATGAAAATCTGAAATAAGAAAGAATGTATTTTAAAATCTATCTTTGGAGTCATATGATTTACACATGAAATGGGTGGTTTGTATGAAGATGATCTAATTGTATAGAATTCGCTTCTAAATATTTATTGAATAATCTATTGGGAGGTAAATTGCCGTAAGCAAATATCCATTAGTATTACGAATAAGACTAATTGGGAGGACTAATTGAAATTGATTTTAAATATTTTAATATTAATGTTGTTATTAACAAAATTTATATAAAAAGTAACGAGTACAATTCACAAAATTGTAACGCACTAGTAATATATTACAAAGCCTGCATACCATTTTGTAAAGCATCTAATTCACATGATAAACACCTGGCACAAAATGTTTTGTATTTCACTTCACAGAATTTTCAAGGTGATGCTGCGAAATTGGATATTGAACTTTGTCATTATTCACTCTGAGAATCTATTCAGAGAGCGCTGATGGCGTGATGCGACAATTTCGATGAAAAATCTCGCCTTTCGTGTTAGTTAGGGATCGAAACTCGGTTACTTCCTAGCTTATTGTTGATAGAAAAATGGACTCGTTGAAGAGGTTTCCAGATAAAGTTTCTATATCTATATTTTTTTAATTAATTTCTAATAATAATATATGTTTTTCAAAAAATAGTTATTATTTCTTTGTTTGATAAATTTGACGTTTACAATGCTATATTGACATTTATCTTCAACTTCATCTTGACAGAAATTATATAATATATTTCAGTTTGTTAGAGCGGTCTTTTGGATTTCAATACTTCCATCTTGGGCATGTGGTGAATTTTAATACTCTATAATTTTTATTTTTGTTTTTATTAATTATTAATTTTTATTTATTTTAATTTTTGATGCACTTTCAGTAATTCCGTTTGTCAGGTCACGTTAATATATTTTTTTAAATACAACCCGTATCATTTTATCAACTACATAATGGATTCCATTGACCCTTCTCTGTAATAGGATTCAGGACAATCTTATTCTATTGAACATTCGTTTTTCCACTTAAGCGAATGCATCTTTGATGTTTATGTAAATAATATAAACTTATAAATTAAAACGAACTTACCTTAATGTCGTTGGAAATGCTCTCACAAGAAGGTTATGTTGTAAACTCAAAGCGGTCTGCATAAGCCCACATGTAGCAGATATTAAAATGGCAATAACTATCAGCGAATTGGTCCAATAAAGACTTCCAGAGCAAGCGGAGCAGATGATCAGAAGAATGATTATCAGAGGCTTGATTCCGAAGAACTTAGTCATACAAGTACTGATGCAAATACCGATTAGAGACGCCGCACCAAGAATCATACCATTTGTATAAGTTTCGGAACCACTGATGTTCTAAAAAGTTTAAAATTATTATTAATTTTGCTAAGAATAGCAATGATATTAAAAATATTCTTGGAAAAAATGTGACATTATTAATGAATAACAACATATAAACTACTATATACTATTCAATAATGTGACTGCTCAAACATTTAAAAACTTATTATATTATTTCTATTAAATTTTAATTGCATTGATGACATCATGTGTTGTATTTTTATCTGTTTAATTAATTATTCGTACGACATGAGAATTATTCTCATTGACAATGTTTTTTTTTTGAAGACTTACTCCCATGAGTTTTTTCTTATCAACTCAGATCTTAACCTATCTTTTAGACAAAATTACTTACCGGTATACAAATGTCACTGTCATTATCATCTATTTTCCTAACTGTAATATTGCTTTCTAAATAAGAATTATTCAGTGAATGGGGACCCATATATTTGTTTTCATGTATATATTCATTTATCATGACGCAAAAACGATCGGTACGATTATGAGTATTACGATAACCCTCCACAATTGTCGATATTTGAGGATACCACATTCGTAAAGAACTGTATCTGTAATAAAAAAAAAAACATAATTAGCAAGACTTCGTTGTTCACAATGCCCTCCTAAAGCTATTATTTGATATATAGCGAACTATATTATATTCTATTTTCCTTAATTACGCATTAAAATATGTACGTGAGTGCAAGATAGTTTTACAACCGATACAATTACTTTAGTTACAATAATATTATGGAAGTTTACTCAAAAACTCTCTCGTTTCTACATCGTGAATCAATGTTTAGTTTTTTTAACAGTAGATAAGCTTAAAAAATCCACTTGATCCCGGCACCCTGAGATGGGATTCGAATCCACGACCTTTAGCAATCCGGGCAACTGTTACTTTTTGCTACTACAGAGCACATTAATCAAATATAATAAGTAGATAAGCTGTTTTCCGCGACTTGGCCTGCGTCAATTATGGCCTTGATGCCGTAGCCTTGCAAAAGTGAAAGAATTTTTAAAATCAGTCCAGTAGTTTTTGAGTCTATTCGATACAAATCAACGAATAGTTAAATCTTTCCCATTTATATAATATGGATGTATATTTTATTGAGAAATCCGAAAATTGTGTGCGGATATTATAGTAAATACCGTCTAAAATATCCCGGTGGTAAACAATCAAGGCTCAGGCAAGTTCTTGGTTCGTGTTTTGGATCCAGTTATTAAAATACAATGAACATTATTACAACAGTTTTTGGACTTGAAAAAAATACGTATTTCACAAAACACATTGGGAAAAAACCAAATTTTATTACAGATCCTTATTTTTCACTACACGAGTAAAATCTGCTTACTTCCAAAGCAATCAATATTAAAATTTCGTTTATGGGTGACGTAAAAATAAGCAAAAGAATTTCGATGGCGTTAATTGGCACTGAATGCTTTCAGTCGGTGATTGCAGATATTGAGATATTTTCGCAAAAACGATAAGCTTCGAACTTCTCTATGTCTTTTAAAGAATGTTGAGAGTGGTTGTATCTGCAAAGGTTAACACCAAATATAAGCCTACATGGTTGATAGTGAGTTCTACTTATACAATTCTATCACTAGCGATAGGTATAATAATGAATTCAATAATATAACTTACGATAGTAAACACACAAAAGTTATCACTGAAAACAAACATATTCTTCCTAGTAAAGGTCGCCTGAATAGAGTTTTTACTTCGTATAGTGCAACAACAAATTGTTTCTTTACACTATTTTTGTTTGTAGGAGTATATTTCCCTGATGAATTGAGCGACGTAATCTGTAATAATAAACAAATACTGTGAAAGTAGGAAGTCAAATTGATATGCAAAATTTTATACATTCACAAGATTTTAAGGGCCCATAAAAATTTTGGGATATGTACTTTAAAACGACGGAACCTGTACGGTGTTACTTGCTCGTATCCCGTATCTATCCGCTTAAGTTAATTTTGGTCTACATGTATGTGTCCCAGTAACTCAAAGACGAACGCATAACGTTTGTAAACGAAAATTTTGTAAGGGCCAGTCATAGGATTAGTAAAAAGTTAATATCTTGAGTTCCTACGAGCTTCGTTAGGCACGTTAAGCCGTTAAAGCTGACATTGGTCGTTAACTCCCACCAACTCACAGTGGATGACCTTAAATGCTACTTTTTAATTAACAACCATCGGAAAATTTCAGAAAAGTCGCACTGCATGCTGAAATGCAGGTAACCTAGTTCAAAAACAAACGCTAATTAAAAACATGAACTCTATTTTGATTTAATGCAATGAAAACTCACTGGAAAAGAGTTTCTATTCTCTCTTGTATTAGAGCTGTATATATCTTTCAATACTTCCAATGCTTCGTTTTCTTGACCATGTGAAAGTAAATATTTTGGACTCTCTGGCAAATAGTAATATGATATTGCAGCTATTAAGCTGCATAACGAACAAACATATAAGTATATATTCCACGAATGCAACACTGAAAAAAAATCAAGTATTATCATTTTCGTAATCTTTCTAAAGAATAGAGTTACACCTGCAGAAAAATGTGTTATTTTATTTACGCAAAATTATTTATTTTGCCGCTAAAGATCAAGTATGGGTTTTAAAAATACGTCAATTTTAAAATCTTGATAAAAATACATAGGTTAATAGAGCAGAAAACGTGGTTTCGGCCACTGCCCTCTTTTTGGTCATTTGACAATTCACGAAATATTTGAATAAACGAAGTTTGCCGCTATTTTAGTAAAAAACGTTTAACTAACGCAAGAACAAAGATATTTCTTTACCCTAAAGGGTTTTTAAAATGTTACATTATGGCGAAATAAATGACATTGAAGTCGTGATGTGTCTAAGTTCATTCGTAATTTATAAAATGACCAAAACCAAATCCATACCCATAATCCTCAATTCATTGGTCATCACTTAAACTCGAAATATAAACTTTATGATAAGGTTTCGATCCTTAGACATAATAAGCATAATAAATATTTTTTCTTGAAATGAAAAGTCTATTTTAAACAATAGTATTACAAGGAATTGATAAGAATATTGAATCTCATTTATATTATTATCGGTATTCTAAAAATACTTACCAAAATATCCTTCTATTAGCGTAATCTTTAGGTTCAAAGGCAACAAACCCCATGATATCAAAGCTATCAATATCAGTGATATAGAAGTAAATGATGCAAATAGAAGTAATACTCTATTTCTAACGTTTTTGTGTACCAGTTCCGATAACAGTACCGATGGTATTGTATAACAGAAACATGAACTAAAACATTAAAAGAAAATAAGAATGTAATATATGTAAAAATCAACAGATAGTACGATAAGAACCTTTATCAAAGCAACATTAAATAAACTTTTTACGGTCTCATTAATAAAATGCTTATCATGCTGAATTCGAATAAAATATGTGCAGAAGCGCAATCTAGAAAATAAACTTCAATTTTTTTTTCTGCGGATTATATCATAGAGCGAATGACTTACCAAACGCCTTCAAACAGTTTGCCCACAGCTAACATCCAGAAATTTTGACTAGAACCTTCGATTACTGAAGACACAAATATTCCTAATAAACCACCAATTAGGAACATTTTCCTACCAAATGCGTCTGTCATAAATCCAGCAAATAACGATGCGCTTACTTGACCTGTAAAAAAAATGAGTGCGATTATAATAATTATTTCTGAATAATATTTTTTTACATAATACCTATATTATTTAAGATCATTTTTAATGGTAGTCAAGCATTTTCATAATTCATTTATATAGCTTAATAGTTCCCCCTTTTTAATGATAAATTGTGAGTACTGCTAAAAGAAAATATATTTCGTCATGTCTAACAGACAAGACATCTTATTTACATAGACATACTCTGAAGGAATGAAATGAAGTTGCGAACTAATAAAGTTAACACCTAAAAAGTCCAGATGTGGAATTTGTAGTCTTCTACTAAAAGTCTACAGCAACAAATCAAAAATATTAACTCCAAAAAATCTGGAGTGTAAAAAATCTAATACTACCCTTCATACAAGAGAGTTTTAGTTTTGTGAAAACAAAGCATCATACGACATCTTTAGCAAATTAATTCTAATTGCTAGAACACAGGCACACACAAAATTGCACCGAATCACTCAAGAGTTGGGCATTTTTAATCAACACTAATAGAAACTCACCACAAAACGGCATAGAAGTCAACAGTCCTTTCTCTATGATGGTCATGTTGAGGTCACATTCAGCATTAGGCAAAATATAAGAGCTGGTTGTGGTTACCATCATCGAAGCACAGCTAGCAGCCATTGTGGTAAGGAGAAGTCTGATGTGGAAACGGCCAAATTTGCAGTGTACCAGAGCATCTTCGAGAATCTCCATTGACTTCTCAACTTCATCTTTTTTTTCTTGAACGAGTATTAAAAATTATGTTAAAGCATTATGTGGGCTTCTAAACTAGACGGTACTACAGCTAAATATAGATAATATATTTTGCTTGAAATATTTTTTTTTTAATTGTAACTAACAATATCATATAACAATATCTCATAAGGTATCTGAATCTGCATTTGTGTCTTAAGAACATTTTTAGAAAATGACATAATTTATCACATCACTCAAAAATAGTGATTTAACAGATGGAGTCTGCTGCAGAACTATGTCAAGAAGGGACCAATTAAACACTGCACTGACCGACTATGATAGAAAATTATCAGAATTTAGGTTAAGTTATAGTATTATTTTTTATATATTTGTACTGTTCTTATTATTATATGTTTAATTTGTCAAATGGTGTTACGTACACGTTAATATTCACTCATTAATTCATATTTTATTTTTAAATATAAAATATTTAAAAATAAAATATGAAATGAAATGTAATATTTGCACACTAATGAAAAGACTGTTCTATTTTTCTAAGTATTTTTAAAGATTTTGATTCACTTTCTGAAGTAAATATTACAATTATTAGTATTTATTTATTTAAAACTTACCGTTTCCTTTGTTATCAGTCATAGCGAGCAATTTTAAGTTTTTGCGTTAGTAGAAAAAATATTATTTTAACTGATTTGATCTTTGCTTTTATAGAAGATATTTCAACTAGCTGACTGCTCATTGAATATATAAAAATATACACTAATTGTCTACGTTAGCGTACACACGATTATTAAACAACACTGAGTATAGTTAGAGAAAAGTAAATCTGTGAACAAACTTACAAACAGAGTTATCAACTAATCAGTAGTGTAATTAAGAACTTGTGTGTACTATGACGTTTGGGTGATAGGCATAGTTAAAATTTAACTAAAATATTAAGATATTCAAGATAAAATGCTGCGTAACGGACAAATGTCTGTTGAGAAAACATCTATGTTTATATATTTGATAAAATTTTGATTCATCATGCTATTTCGATAAGTAACTTGCTCATTGAATCGTCGGGAAGGGATTAGTGATCAAAAATTATTATCTCGAGCTACTCCGCGCTTCAAAAGGACCATTAAGCCATAGGTCCTGGTTGCAATTGTAGTCCTTAATATCCTCCAATTAGAACCCATCCTCCTTAACCATCCATAAGGAAGGTCTGAACACCTGCAGTTGGGGGGTAAAAGGTCTGATGATAGTTACTGTCTCTGGTACTTAAGATATATGTACATGATTTTTTTTTATACTGAATTATTCTAACATTAGCAAAAGTTAAGGCCTAGTTCACATTTATCCGCGTAGGAAGTATTTTTGAATTTATAAAATGCGAGGTTGGGCCACAAATATTATTTTAGCTAGCGAAATTCTGCTTCTGGACTTATTTTATTGTCACGTTCCCACGTTCCCAAAAATTTCTCATCTAACACGTTTGTTGTGTTTTTTTTTTTATTAGAATTATTACAATGCGTGGTCTGTCGGATTTAGCAATTTCTGGCTTTTTGTTTTACTTTTTTATGGCTAAACCAAATTAGTATTCTGTATTCAGACAAATAGGCGAACCCTTTTGTACTTACTTTTGCATTTGCAGATATAGGATAAACATATCTAAATTTTTATGAGCCGTTTCATTTTTTGTTATTTGAAATTCTTGTATAGATAGAAACACAACGCATTTAAATTTGGAACAAGGAAAATGAAAAACCTGTGATTATAAAACTAATAATAGTAAAGATGTTTTATTGATTTCAAACAACAATTGCATATCTATTTTATAGACCTGGTGAGTTTATTCGTTCATTCTTCCCATTAGTCAAAAAACGTCCTGAATACGTTTGAAAAAAATGTTAAATGATTCAAAAGTACTTTAAATAAGTTAATTTGAATTAATTTTTTTTGATTTTAAGCATTTTTTACACACCAACTTTTCATAAAAATTGTTTTCTTCGCTACTTGTTTAAGAATATCGCCGGAATCATCAAATTGTGTCTAAAACTGAGAAGCAGAGAATTTTTATCTTAAATTGATGTACAAAGAAAAAAATGATATAACTCGAGTTCTATCAGTGTTCACAGAACAAACAGAATTATTACATTTTATTTTTACGTCTCCAGAAGTAACAAAAATGCTAACAAACTATGTATTGGTCGATCGGGAAACTAAGACATACTAAATAATTAACAACTTCTTTACTTCTAACTCTTACAAATATTACTTGTGAAAAAAGGATTTCGATATAAGAAAGATAAGAAGGTATAAAGGCCACTTCATTAACATTTACATTTCTCTACCTTTGTTCGTCTTTCGTTGAGTAATTGAGGCATAAAAATACATTATCACTCCGTTGTGAGTAATTTGCACAAGGTTTATTAAAGAAATTTACAATTTTTTTCCTTTGGAGTTATGCCATTTGTTTCCAAAACGGTATCATCTGCCAAAACTATATTCAAATGAAGATTTAGCATGTTTTATTTAAGTTAGGATTTGGACACACTTAAAGATTTTTCAGAAAAGATTTGACAAAATATATCCACATAAAAAATGATAGCTTTACCTTAAAATGGAACTAGTAAGATAATATAAAATATGCGGTCATAAATTAATTAATTCATGCTAATCTATATTCTAAACTCAGAGAGTCTGCTTAATTTTCGTAAAAAGTGGTACAACTTTTTTCTTCGAGTATTAATAAAATCCTATTATAGAATAGTATCAATTCGATATTGATTCGACTGTCTAAACTAAGTCGTTAAGGTACTTTTTTTAACAAAGTACTATCATAATGAAACAAATCTAAGACTACATTTTTAAAATAAAGCTAAGCCCACACGTCACGTTATATTGTGACATTTCACCCTTGGTCCATTATTCAGTTACTTTAGAGGCTTGCTTCGAAACAAGAGATATTAAGTTAACTGTCCCCACAAACATTAACTGGGTCAACTTTAAGGCAATCTGACAGACATGTTGGATGTTATTAAGAAGCTGATTTAAAGTTTGCTAACATGAAACAGCAGCTGGCTGTGAAGCTTCAAGTATTTTAGTAATGGAACAATCATATTTTAAAGACGCAGACATTAAGAGAAGACAACCTTATCTTTAGAAAATTTCTAATATTAAATTTATTAAACTTATTATGAACGATTATGAACATTAAGTCCAAACCACTGTCACTCGTTGAGATGTACATTAAAAAAATTAAGCATTTACATTTTTAATTCATTGAAGGACCTTAAAATCTTAATAATAGTTGTATGTGAGTGTACAGCCGCTATTATGCATAAGAACAACGGCCAATAAAGTATCTACAATTATTTAAAAAAAAATCAAATTTAAAAACCAAAGTCTATAATAATGACCTTTATAAAAACAATACATAATATAATATGTCAATTGAGGTCCTTAAAATATATTACGTTTCATTTATTTAATTTGCTCAGTATAATTTTTATTAATATGTTAAACAAGCCTAAAATTAAATAGCTGACATTATACGACAAGCACAAACTAAACATTTATTTCCTGCGTAAATCATCTTAAACAATATCTATATAATAGTTTCTAAAAGCGTCTAATTTAAACAACAGGCATCCAGTCTTCTCACAGCCTTAATTTGTAACTGTCAACAACAAAGAGGGCGAGGATCAGAAAACAAAATGTATCAGTCTAACGATATCATCACAAATTAGGTTATTCTAATGAATTTAATTAACATCGTCGTTCAATCAATAGACGTAACGAAGTAATTCACCCCCTTGTTCAAGAAACGGTAGAGTCAACGAAAACATCTTTCAAAACACGGCACCCGGTTATAATTTTTGACTTCGCACACAGCTGTAATAACTGTCTGCTTAAAATTCAGTCGGAGCCGAAAGTTTAGGGCTCCGAGCTGAATGTGAATTAAGCTCTCTTAACGAAGTGTTCTAATGGTGCAGTGGTTAAGTGACGACATACTTTGTTTGTTTTATAATTGTTTTGCTTCCACGGGCATGTGATTTGGGTCCGTAATTTTATAATGTTATTTTTAATCAGCAAATTGGTAATTCTTATTCTCACAATAATAATCAAGTTTAACTTGAAGAAATGAATAAGTAAACTACTAGGTAGTCGAGTAAGAATGTTTGATATTGTTTTATATTGTATTTACCTGCTGGTATGTTACTAACTGAAGCAATGAATAAAATAAATTTCATTGAGTAATCGTCAGCTCATCAATTTAGTAAAAAAAGCTAATTTTCTCCCATCGATTTTAAATCTGCATCAGTTGAGAGTTAAGTTCAAATTTGACGATAGAATATTAGCATTTGAATAACCTGATGTGCTATTTATACATATCACATTAACATCCAAACACAGTTATTAAAGTTTTTTAATTTTCAGTGTTCCATATCGCAAAAGGAAAATAGAACTTGTTGTCTACATGTCAAGCCCCCTGTATTTCGGGAAATTATTCAGATATGGAGTTGAAATTTAAACCATATAATTTAGAATTACAGTCTCATGAAAATATATTATTTTCTTTCAACACTCTCAAGAATCAAAATTTGCGATGCAGCATCTTTCCAAAGAATAATTTCATGGATAAATTTGAATACTATTAATTTGTAATTAAATCATTAAATTATATAGTCTTATAGTGGGTCGTCTTAAAACTGTTAGTTTCAGTTTCTATAAAGGCAGTGTTTTGTTCATGGAAGAGGGGGATATCCCAATACAAGCAAAAATTTTGCTTAGAACGAGTCTAGAAAAACTTATATGTCTAGATGACGAATTATTTTTGTTTTTCATTTATTTTATTGGTATGAAACCTTCAGGTTTCAGACTAGTTGTAGTAGTCAGATTCACTCATGGTCAGTTTAATATTAAATAACGATAAATTTGATTTTTGAATAATATATTTTGGTAGAATTACAAGTTTCTTCGTCTGTTCAACTTATGTTCAGTATCTACTTAGCTACCTCTTTTACATTAAGCACTGAAACTTTGAGGTAAGCTTTTCCGAGAAACTCGGTAAGAAGCAGTTGAATAAATATGTTCTGACAATCTGTTCTGCTAGAGAGATAGACTTCTGTTTTGTTTTTTTTAGCATTCTTTTATCTTATGTTTCCGAGCATTATTCTCATTTGAAACAATGACTAGTAAAAGTTTGATATTTTTGTATTCATTGTACATT